TTTTAAATGGATTAATAAATATACTTTTTCTCACCTTTAGTTTTCAGTATGGTAAATATTTGCATATATTGCCCACACTAACAAAATCTCTTTTTAGGGAACCTTTGGAACTTTTTGAGGGTAAATGGATTTTTAGACCAAAATATTTGAGAACTCCTGCCCTAAATGAAGCAAGTCTGATCTGAAAATAATGATACTATATATTTTGATACCATATTGTAAGAACTTTATCTAAAATAAGTTACAAAGAAAGGGAATAAGCTAGAGACCATACTAATAAATCCTTTTCCATCGTGTTTCCAACTGTCACGTTTTGAAGTAGAAAAGTGACTTTTCCTATTTTTAGTGACTACCTACGTTTTATAGCTATCAGTATGAAACAGATTCTATCAGACACCACAAAACATCAGTAAACTTGTACATAGTTAAATGTAACAATTTTGTTTCCTTAAGTCAAGAAATTTTAATTGACTTTTGAACTATTACTATGTTAAAATAACAATGACAGTGACTAAGTTCCAAACATAAAATGTAATGAGAGAATAATCTCTAATTTAAGTAACAAATTCTTCTGCCACATGAAATAAAACATGAAGATTCAACATGTAAATTATGTTATTTTTGCTCCCAAATGTGGATATGTGTATTATAGTACTTTATCTGTATTATATCTGCACAAATGAATTATTTTTATCCTATAGAATTACCTCAATGTTAATGTTTATATATATGCATACACACACACACAAGTGCTGCTGTATATCAGTTTAAGAATCAGAATTTGCATCAAACTTATATAGCTTTAAAAGAATGAATAAGAGTTTCAAAATACCTATGCTACTTGGCTCTTTGTCTCTGGGTTATTAAATGATATTGAAACAATTATGCCATGACTCCTGCTATATAAAAGCTATAATACCCTTTTATCTCATTATTATTTAAATGTTAAATGCTCCATTATAGAAGTAAATTGGGTTTAAAATAGAATGTTTCAAGCAGGAGAGCAAAAAATATAAGGTTAAACAGAGAGAAGAACCCCAGCTTCAATTTGTGGTGCAAAGCTTGCTAGGGCATGGATTGATCTTTTGATATACTAAGAAGGCAGACCCTCTGACATGCCCTACTGAGAATAAATATACTGATCTGGAACAAAAATGTGAAACAGATGTTAAGTGACAGAAGAAATGTGCATTGGACCACCAGCCTGCCATAAATATTGCACTCTTAATCAGAAAGCGTGTCTTTTCATTTCCTCTTCAGTAATCTTTGCATTGTACTTAATCTGTGCAGAATGCTTCTCCTAACAGGTGCAACAGTGTTTATAAATTTAAAACCTTATTTAAATGAAGCTTACAACTAGAAATGTTTCAATTAACAGGGCAATATTTTATGAGAGGGAATCATTCTAACATCTGGCAAATCCATCGATTGCTTTGCATTTGTAAAATTTAATTATTGGAAATTTAGAGCATAAATGCCAAGCAAACTGAAGATGAAAGGTCCTTTAAGCAATTTTATCCAATATTTTTGTGTCCAGAGAAATTATAGAAAAAAGTCACTGGTAGGAATGTGAATACCTTGAAATATTGAGCATAGATATTATGAAATGTCATGTTTCATTAAAATAAAAGAACTAATAATGTCCCACGTGTCCATAAAACGTGGCTTCTATGGCACTAGTTTATTTTTTGACAGTTCAATTTTTCCCTTTTATCATGATGCAGTTGTTGAAAGTGAATATAATAGATCCATAATCAATCTTATTGGATAAGAAAAAAATATTGACTAATTCTAACATTTGCATTATAATTACCCAAGTAATTTTAAATAGATAACTTCTTCAAAAGCATGAATATAATCATAAAACTAGCTCACTTAGAAAACAAATGGAAGCAACTATAAAATTATTTATCTCTTTTACTCAAAAGGAATGCAGAGATAATGAGCTCAGTTACTACAGGGATCAGGCAGGCATTATAAGTGACACAGTCCAGTGAAACACGTGGTCCTTTAGGTTGATCATTAATTTCCCAATTTTTGATATAACAGGTGTTGAAGAAAATATTCTTATCTGCACTCATGGACAAATAACAGGGCGGATTCTGATAAAAAAAAACAACAAACAAACAAAAACCATGGCAATTTGGTGAGCAATCTCCACTTAGCTGTTTGTTTTCATGGAGAAAAAGAACCCAATGTTTCCAGAAATTCAATTTTTCAATAATGTACAGAGCACACAATATATGTTGGTAGACTGGCTCTTGCCCCTGGGTTTCCAATTTGCAATCTTTAGTGTAATAGCTGAAAACATGGGTTTACTGTCAAACAGATTTGAGGTCAACTTTTGTCTTGGCCATTTATTATCTTTCTAACCTTGGATAAGCTACTTGACTTTAAATTCTATTTCATTCTCAGCATAAAAGGGGTTAATAATGAAAGCTAACTCACAGAGATGTTCTAAGCATTAAATGAGAAGGTATAAAACACTTAGCATAGTAAGTACTCAGTATGTAGCAGGTATTATTTTTTGCTTTATTTTGCTTTTAATTAGATACAAATAAGGAAACAGAGGCCCAGAAACTGATGTAATTTCACCACTATTAACAACATGCATGAATTTAAAAACTCAGGCCTCCTGATTCCTGATTCATGAAGCTATTTCCCTAATATAATATATAATATATAAAAATTTTATTTTCAAATCTAATTGCTATTCTGTAAAAAGCTCTAATTTCCTTATGTACTTTAATAACTGACATAGGATAAATATTTTTTACATCATGGATAAAGCCTTTTTCAATATTTACAAGTCTTTTTAATAGCTGTATACAAGCATTTATAGGTTAACCCAGAAAGCAAAGGTTAATATCTGTTCCTTAGAGAGTTCACACAAAATTATCTCATCACAAGCATTCATATTTTGTAAGGGACAAATCTATTTTTAAAAATTCTCCCACTAGAGCAATATAAACAAAGTCATTTGTTATAAAGCATAGGGGACATTCTTTTAATTACTTTTTTGAAGACAAATATAATAGAAAATGACTCTGATGAGAGGAGTGAGATATTCTAGGTATAACTTGAAAAACTTATCCTTTACACTAAGGCATTTCTATTAGATAGATTTAGCCTTGGGGATTTCCCAGTAACAGCAATACCTTCTTAGAACTTCACTGGGTCCTGTTTCCAAAGTTTCTCCCTATTGACTCTTCATATTCTCTAGCTGCTCCTCATCAAATTCCACCTCTTCAGCCTGAAAAGATCATTTTCCTCAACAATTGACAAACTCCTCCTTTCCCCTAATGTACTCTTTTCTAAAAGGTTGAGAGATTCTCTCACTACTATGTTGAACTCACAACCAGACAATCATAATTATGACGACAGTGTTAGGTAGATAGTGAGGGATTCCAGGTCTTCGAGGGAGGAAAGTGTAAGCTGCTGCAGTTCACCCCCACAAATGGGCTTTCAGAGAGGCTCATGGGAGATCCTCATGTGTGGTTAAGACTCAGGTCATATAACTCCCAACTCTCCAATCAAAGTGGTTCCATGGTGACATCTGAACCACAAGGAGTTCCCTATCTGGACACCATAAAACAAGACTCAGACCATAAGACCATAACCAAGCCTTTTTTTGTTCTGTGTTTTGCTATGACAGTGGGTCCGATGGTCATCTGTGGCATATGTATCTTACTCTGTAAACCCATATCTTGCTCTTGCTCCATAATCCTATCTTTCTCTCCTCAATAAACCTCATCTTCGTGCTTACCTTTCTTTGGTATGTCTGGTCATTCTTCAGCCTTGAGCACACAGAGACCAACACTTCAGACTGCCAAACCTGACAACAGCTACAGTTGAGGGGGGAGCCACCTTGTATGCCCAAGTTAGACAAACCTTTTACATAGTCTCATTTAATCTTCATCATAGTTCTATAGATTCCATAAGTATACCAAGGTTTCTCATTTGTAAAATAATTCTGAAAGATGTTAAATAGTTTGTCTAGTAAAGGTCAGAGTCAAGAATTTAGTCCCATTCCCAAGGCTATGCTATTCTGCCTCTCTAAATTCTTGGTTTAAAACTCAATCAAGATGAATTAGAGAAATGTTGAATAAAAGTTATAATATCTTATGAGTGCTACACAGAAACATTACTAAAATATTACTAAATGCTATTAAAATTTAAGATATCACATATCTGAAGTTGATCCTATGCAAATATTATTTATTAATAAACACTCCTATTTGAGGATATCTACATTTGAAGAGCAAAGCAGGTTTTACTCTGTTTTCCAGGCATTATTTTGTTAATGCAACAATTACCTCAAGCAGTCCAATCCAGAGCCTTTCAAATAGCTCCAAATAACGCATGAACAATTTGTAAAAGAAGGTAATATATTCCAACCGGTTTAGATGTATAGACACACAGTTTCCTGTGACATAATTCTGAGAAAGATTAAAAGGATTGAAGTCAACAGATAGATGAACACAGACTTAATTAAGGTGAATCATGCCTTTGTGATATTCTTTGGGAAAAAGGCTTCTATCTTCACAAAAAAGTAGTATCTTTTTCTTTAGCCAGGCAAACTATTGACAAACTTTGGGTAACTAATCTACAGACTCACATTAACACATAGAACGTGAGATGCATTTTCCTTTGGGCAAGGCAGGGAGAATCTATTGCACATGTCAACTGTTTCTGTGAATACTGAAGATTACAATTATGTTTTGATGTTAATCCAACTACTGCAAACTTCTTGTTGCAATGCACACTGTGAAAATGTGAGTGACAGTATAAATCTTTTTAAATTGAATTCAACACTATTGAAAAGAGCTGATGTTTTCAAATACTATTACAAAGCCTCTGAACAACAGGAATAACTCTCTAAATGAAGCTGCTTTCTATAGTAACCTATTTGATATGAAAGACGAATAGCCAGCATAGAATCAAATTCTGCACGTCTGCTATATTATGTGTGTGTGTGTTGCATTTTTAGAAACAATCACCTCTAATGCCTTGATGTCCTCATAAGCAAACTGCACGATGGGAACTCCAAGATGGTTGATGAAATAATCAGCATCACCTTGTATCTGTACAGAACTGACATTGGTGTCTGGGCACTGAGCTCTTCTGGTACAGTTGAAATTATTTTTCTGAAAAACATAATTTAAATTGTTAACACTATGCTTCTCGGGTCATGCCTAAATCAGTGCTACTCAAAATGTGATCTAGAGATCAGCAGCATCAAAGTCATCTAGGAGCTTGTTCAAAATGCAAATGCTTAGGCTCCACCCTAACCTCCCTATGGGGACATATGGGGGCGGAGCCCAGGAATTTGTGTTGTAAGGCTCCTCTTCGATTCTGATGCTTGCTGAAGTATGACTAGCACTAACCAGAATCAAGCTTTGCCTTTTGTTGTTGCTTCAGAAGTATTTTTGTCATAGATTTATTTTGAACTCATTACTCATTAATTTGACAATTGGTAAGTCTCTAAAAGGGTTTAATATTTTATTTATTTATTTATTTTTTAGTTTTCCCATCAATTAAAAGGATAGCTTGGTAGGATACAATTCTATTCTTCTTAAAATGTTTATCATGCCGGGCATGGTGGCTCACGCCTATAATCCTAGCACTCTGGTAGGCCAAGGCGGGAGTATTGCTCAAGGTCAGGAGTTCAAAACCAGCCTGAGCAAGAGTGAGACCCCCATCTCTACTAAAAAGAGAAAGAAATTAATTGGCCAACTAAAACTATATAGAAAAAATTAGCCGGACATGGTGGCGCATGCCTGTAGTCCCAGCTATTTGGAAGGCTGAGGCAGGAGAATCACCTGAGCTCAGGAGTTTGAGGTTGCTGTGAGCTAGGCTGACACCATGGTACTCTAGCCCGAGAAACAGAGTGAGATTTTGTCTCTAAATAAATAAATAAATTGTTTATTAAAAAAAAGCTAGAGAAGGATTTCTTTCCATTTCTCCTTAAAAGCGTATTCCCAGGTACCTTATAAGTACATGCCAACTACTACAGTGGGCCATGTAGAACCACATGGCTAAGTGCAACCTCTAGGGAAATATAAGATAATAGACTACTATTTCCTAAACTAAGAGTTGTCTAGCAGGAAAAATAAATGACAGTAGCTTTATAAAAATCAAATAAACTGAAACAATTAAAAACAAGCAAACTAAAAATTTTTGTAATTAATATTGATTAAAAATGTCTTCTTTAATAAATCTTCCCAAAATCTAGAATCTTTCTGAGATGCAGTTGCCTTAACTTTGAAACATGGAAGAATACCAACCTCCTGGGCAGTTATAAGGGAAGCAAGACAATGAGCATAAAAACATCACATCTAACGTCAGGCACAAAGCTCAATACATGTTTGCCATTGAATTAAGACATAGACTTATCAACCTGTCATGCTTTCTGGCATGATATAATTTCAAAAATACTTTTAAATATAACCTATCAAAAGACTTGAAAATATGTATCTTAATATTGAGAAAATAAGTTATTCCAACTTTTTTCAACTACAGTGCTAGATTATTCAAACATATAATAATGTTTCAATATCTATCCAATTTTCCTTGAGGTCCTAATGGAAAGATCTTTGCAACAAAGTTAAAAATCAATTAAAATAGAAAGCCAGTATGAGTGTTTACAAACAAAGCAGGGTTTCAGTTTAATGTTATTTACTAACTATCTTGGGTGATTAAGCACTTTGAAAATAGAAAGAAAAAGAATGTTTTACTATAGAGTCTAATCAGTAGGAACCTAAAGCTTTTTATGGTGACCCTCATTAATTTGCTGCTTTTCAAAGCCTAGTTGTCTGAAAAGGGAGGTAAATCTTTTTCATTCCCTAATACATTCTTAGGGCTTAAGACTCTGTGTTTTATGTCAGCTTGGGACAATTTAGGGAGAGTCTTGAATATTCCCAAAGAAGAACTACTCTTAATACTAGATAATAATAAACAAAGAAACTATATTAGGTTAAAAATCCAAAAGTATTTTTGAGAGATCCCCAAAACTGGCACCTCTGAAGGTAATTATTTAGCTAATATAGGTTTTTTGTTGTTTGTTTGTTTTTCTAGTTGAATTTGAATGCTTTGGGCAGGCAGACATTCACTAAAATATAATCACTTAGAGTCTCACACCCAGCCTGTTCCATTCATTCAATTTCATTAAATAGTGCCAGAGGCATTTGAATTTTCAAACCTAGATTGTTGCATTATTTTAGGCCATTAAATGAGGATTTGGTAGGATCTGGTTTTCACTTTTTTCAGATACCTAGCAAATAAAATTAAAAATCACTTTTTAAGTGATCTATTATCTTTTTGCTAAAGTAACGTCTATGTCTTTTCAAGACAGCATATGCCTCCTACTCAACACCAGTGAAATTATAGGCTTGGCTTTAATTTCATTTTGCATATATAACTCTCGATATCCACCCCAACTCTTAGTTATGCTTCTTAGACAGAAATTTTTTTCTCAACAGAATATTGGCATAGATAAAAACTTAATAATTCTATATTCCACAATATAAGTGTGTTAAAGAATTATATTTTTAGATAAATGTACTTAAGTTTCATATTTGATATTTTCATTCAGTCATCATTAGTTACATAAATCATTCAGTTATACAATAGCTGCCCTCTGACAAAAGGCGTTAACTTTTCATATAAACAAGTTCCTAAGATGACACAAATGCCCCCACTCCAATTAATCCTTGCAATTTTATTTATTTATTTATTTATTTATTAGAGATGAGATCTTGCTATGTTGCCCAGCTTGGGCTCAAGTCATCCTCCCACCTCAGCTTCTCGAGTAGCTGGTACTACAGGCATGAACAACCACACCCAGCTATTTGCAATCTTTCTTCTAACAGTTACAGAAAGCATAATTCTGGCTTAGCTTCAGCATTTTATTGGTATAGTACATTCTTTTCAAAGTCCATACCAATTTTTTTCTAGTCTCTCTGTTCTTGCCATGGCTGTTCTCATTACACAGCTTTAATATTTTCAGTGCATTCCATTTCCATGGTTCCTACTTGGTACATCATTGTTTACATGTTTTGTATTTTGCAGGCAAATCAAAAAGGCAATATTGCAGTTTTCAGGATTACATTTCCCCAAAACACTTCTGCATTATTTTCCCTACTCTAGTTTGCTTTGCCTCACCTATTTATTGAATAGTCTATCTTTTCCCTAACGGCTTGTGTTGCTGCCTCTGACATATATAAATTACTTTTGTAAACCAACTAAAATGGCAACACAGTGAGCATTATCTAGAAATGTTTTAAAATTATGTTTTGAAGGTTAAGATCTAGTAACTACATCTATGGTGCTAAATATGGACTATATATGAAGAGGGGATAGAACACAGAAGAGGGTTGAGCAGCCCAACAGATAGCTGGGAGCACTTAACTACTGAGCTTCATGTCAGAGTCAAGCACAAATGGAGGACAAAAGTTTCAAGAAAGTCAATCCAAGATTGGGGCTGTAGGGAACAGTTCCCTGAAGAGTTATTCTGGGGCCTGTTCCTCACCCACTGAGCCCAGAGTTTCCCTGGAGGTCTTCCAGAAGATTTATTTTGCCAATCTCCATTCTCTGCCCACCCTTTCTTTTTCTCTCTCTATCTCATTCTCTATTTCCTACTCTCAGTGATTTAACCAGTAATGAGGAGGGGAAGCACATTACCTTTAAGCCTGTGTTCATTTTGTCTTTTTGTGCTTTTGTTCTTAACTAGCTTCAGAGTAAAACTATCACATGAAAAAGAACCCAATTTGCAGATTGGGGAATTTTTTTCTCCTCAAGTTATTTTATCCAAGAATTTCCCTTAAGAAGAGAACATTCCTGGCACAGAAACACTATTCTCTAAATCTTCATTATTCATTACTTTAAAGTAATGGATTTAAGGCCCAATTCACAGGCCTGAAATGATCCTAAATCTATATTCAATCCTAATGTGAATTGTTTTTCCACACAGCACTTCAGTGGATTATAATAGATCCATACCAGGTAATAGACATTGATCTACTCAACCCTCATAAGCATTAATATCTGAGAGACAAATAGGAAGAAATGTTAATTTTCTTTATTTTACTAGAAGTTAAGTATCCTGGGAGTGGAAAGGTTGGTAACAAATTTGTGCAGGTCAATTAACTTTTTAAATTTATTTACAAGGCTGAGTAAATTCATATTAAGAATTTCATCCAAGGAGTTAAAAAGGCTTCGTATTTAATGTTTGATAACAAGTATTTTTATTCCAGTTCATAAAATGAGCAAGTTCAGGCAAAGACCATATTTATATCACTTGTTTAATTTCCCAGCACTGGTCTGTTGAAACCTGAAATGAAATCATCATCTCAATTCTAATTTTGTATGCTCTTTGCGAGCATAGTTTTAAGATGAAAGGCAAAATGTCATAATAAATGATCATATAAGTGAAATATAAAGAAATTCAATCAATATTTGCATTAGTTAAATAGCGATGTCAAGACCCATTGACAAGTTTCTAAAAGTATTTAAAAATCTGTTTAATAATTCAAACATTTTATTTCTTCCACACTCTGCTTTCCCCTGCATACATAAGCATTCGGTCTACACGCATAGGAAATTTAAGTTGATTACTTATTCAGACAGCTAGAAACGTATAATAGTCAAAATAAAAATACTGTATTCTACATATCATACTAAAATTAAATCACTTTCTTTCCATTTCAATATTATTCTTGTAACTTCAATTATGTAGAAACAGTTTATCTCACTAGTTTTCCTGTTTTTTTTTTTTTTTCATTATAGTCAGGTTCCAGTTGGGATAATGATGCCTATGATATTAAAAAATGATTTCTCATTATAGGCATTGTGATGGTCAATTTTATGTGACATCTTAGCTAGGCCATGTGGTGCCTAGGTATTTTGTCAAATTTTATTCTGGGTGTATCTATAAGGGTGTTTTTAAATGAAATTTTCATTTTAAGTGGTAGACTGAGTAAAACAGATTGTCCTCCCTAGTGCGGGTGGACATCCCACATCCCTCATCCAATTAGTTGAAGGCCTAGATAGAACAAAAGTCTGACCCTCCTACAATAAGGGGGTGGGGGGGTGCTTCTCTTGCCTAACTGCTTTGACCTGGAATATTAGTCTTTTCCTTTATTTGGAC